GAGCTGGCAGGGCCCTGATCAGATATGAGGGGCTGGGTCTAGCCACCCTTTGACTTTCCCACAATTCCTTGCTCAGGGGCATTGGGAAGCATTAAAATGTCAATGCTACTTAGAGTCCTAAGCAAGAGGGGGGAATGCAAACGGGCGTGGCAGGTGTTTGTAGTGGGACCTGCCAGGTTCTTCAGCCCTGGCTGTGATAAATATTGCTTTATGTAGGGTTGCATAATGTTGTGGTTAAGTGGCCGAGGGGTTTTTGTGTCCCATGATAACTGGCACCACTCCTTGTGGCATGTTTGTTTCTCTGTGTAATACAAAAGCATAAATTGGAACTAAATTGGAACTAAACAAACCTTGTATCCTCTAATTTGATGGTATATTTTAACCTACTGCTGCTTCAAGGAATGCATATGACCAAAAGTAATGGACCTTCTGCGTTCACAGTGTGTGATTTATGCACAGTATTGCACAGAACTATGAAGCCACTCCTCCCACTGAAGGATTCATATGACAGCTGACTTCTTCACTCCATCCTGGCCCTAAATTTGGTCTCAATCCATTACAAGCTCCCATGCCTGATCCTACTCCTCCTGAGTAGGATTGTAGGAAGAGAGTCCTTGAACTGGACATTACACTACCAACTCTGGGCTCCTGATCGCCTTCTCCTGCTTCCTATGGATACCTGGGGCCAGTGCTGGGGGATCCAGAACCAGAGCATGGATCTTGAAGTGGGGTAGTGAGCCACTTATGCCTCTTACTCTTGAGGGTATTCTCATTGGCGGCCACTAACACTGGTTGTTTCCTTGGAGAACTTCTTTGAGTTGAGGTCCAGCTGGGTCATGGCATACTCTTTAATGGAATATGGACAAAAGTCAAAGATCTCCTTCTAAATGCCTAACCCAAGGAAGGTGTAGCCAGTAGCCATGTGAGAAGGGGCCTTTTCAGTGGTAGATGCTCATCTGTGGAGTGCTCCCCACAGGGAAACATGCCTCAAACCATCATTATCGGTTTTCAAGCTATGGTCTTATTACTTATTCAAGCCTTTTGTAACCAAGCTAACATCTACGGTGGTGCTCATATTTTAATGAGGTGGGCAGGACTTCTTATGTTTCTGGTTGAGCATTTTAGGCATTTTATATCATACGGGTTTCTTCTTCAGCTTTTCTTGTTTTTAACTATTGGATTTTATCTCGTCAAGTCACTTTGGGACTTTCATTTGGGACTAACGAATATAATACAAGGTCATACTAAAGAAGGACAGAGAGACTATGGAGAAGATGACAAAGTCTATCAAAAAATCTATTAATGGGAATCATGCCCTGGGTGATTCCCAAACATAGGAAGCTGCCTTATAGCACATCTGACCACTAATCCATCCATCTACACTTGACTGGCAACAGTTGTCTGGGGTCTGAGACATGGGTGTTTCCCAGTGTGATCTGGAGATGCTAGGGACTGAACCTGGGATATTTCCCTGCAAATCAAAACACCGAGCAACAGATATTGTTTTGGGAGAAACATTAGTTGCCTCTGGGGACTTGGCACCACAGATGGAATCCCAGCGCAACATACCTCATTGAAGGAGACCATCAAGATGCTGGGAACCTTCCAAATGACCCTTCAATGCACTCCTCCATTATGTGTCAGGGACCGTGCTGAGGAGGGCTACAATGAGGAGGAACGGTGGGTGCCACCACCTCCTGTCCCTGGCCCTGAATTTCCTCAGGAGCAGGAGAACAGTATAGATTTAGAACAGTGGTTTGCAGAGGGGCATAGTTCAGAAGGGAAAAGCTGGGAAATACTGGATGAGGAACAGCTAGGAGAAGAAACACTGGAAGAGAGAGGGTTAACAGATTCACAGCCTCTGGACAGCATCCCCCTTCCCCCCTCCCCACCTTCTAGGAGATCTGAGAAAATTGCTAAACAGAAAGCACAGCGACTATAAGCTCAGGCTATCAGATGTAGGAGTGACATGGATTGAGAGGGATGGGGGTGAGGGGAGTGTAGCCTTAATTGAAAGCACCACCATTCTTAGATGAAGACATTCATTATCCCTCGTTGTAATTATTAAAGAATTCTAACTGGTAAGAAGACCCAGTTCACTTTGTTCTGCTTATCTACTGCCAAGGGAGAAGGAAACCGATTCCTTGGAGCCTGACATTATGTCTTGGGAGGACACTGGTGATGCTACTTACGGTTCATTCAGATATTATTCCTTGTTTTCAAATTATGTATTATTCCTGCTCTTAGAATTCTTCTACTTGTTGTACAGCAGTTAGCCTGACGGTTCATCTCTTAAACTGCTGGAGCAAGACTGATAGAAAAATTGTGCTTTTTTTTTAAGAAAAAAGAAATAAATAAAATGCTAAAACAAAACAACAAAAAGCCTCCGTTGGAATGCTTTGCAATCTGATAAATGTGATGTAAAAAGAAGGGACAGTTGAGAAAATAGGTAGCAAGCATATGCCATGCTCAGGTATGTTCATTAAAAAAAACAAAAAAAGACCAGATAGAATGGCCACTGATGGAACTAGTTCAAGGAGAAGACTGCAGTTACTGGTCCCAGATAGACTGATGAAGAAGGTCTTGTTTTCTCTCCCTTCACTTTGGGCCAAGGCCCACTTGTGGAGCCACGTTGAGGAAGGAGAAGGAGACCCATAGCAGTTAGTCCCAGGCAGGTTCATGGATCGGGCCCGTCTCTCTATTCAGCCGAAACCAAGCAGGAGCCTGGAGGGGGTGTGGGTGTCCCTCCTTCTCTTGTTGATAGCTGACAGGTGCAGGGGCCACCAATGGTGTCTGATCTAGTTGGAAGGAGCTTGGTGCATGGGGAAGGTCCTCCTGCTTCTCCATTCCTTCCTGGTAGCTGTCAGGTGGAATGGTCTCGACTGCAGTCTGCAGGAAGTGGGTGCTTCCTACTGGTATTTCCTCCCAGACACTCTCATGAAGTAGACTTAGCTGTGGCACTTTCGCCCTCTGGCTGGTGCCAGGAGCAACGGCCACTGACTGAGCACGCTCTGGGGGGGAGGAACGCAATGGCTGTTGGCCCAAGGTGGTCTTCTGTAAAGGATCCATTTGTCTCTTCCGCAAACCGCCTGGGGGAATGGCCGCTAATATAGTCTGAGCACTGCAGGCTGGAATGGACCCTGAAGGTGGCTTCTTCCAGGCATTTTCACGTGGAGGGCCTGGGTATCTCTCATTCCCCTGCTGATTGCCTCCATCTGATGGTGGATATGCTGTGAAGGAAGAACCCAGTAACTGCTGGTCCAAGCAGGATTCATGGAGAGGGTCAGGCAGGGGGCAGGCTGGATTCAGTGGTTGCTCTGAGGCAGGTTCATGGAGAGAAACTTTTTGGTGACCTCCAGGTGCAGTGACAACTGAAGGCGTCTGCTCCCTAAGGGAGGAGCTCAATGGCTGTTGGTCCAAGATAGACTCATGGAGAGGGTCCAGCTCTTCTGCCCTTCCATTTTGGCTGCTGGGTGGTGGAATAACCGCCGGTGAAATTAGTTCTGTGCGGGAGGAACCCAGTGGTGGTTGTTCCCGGACAGGCTCCTGGAGAGGGCTTAGCTCCTTGTTCATCCCCTTCTGACAGCTGCCGTGGGGAGCTGTCACCAATTATGGTGTCTCTTCTGGGAGGAAGGAGCCTAATGACAGACCAAGCCAGGCTCTTGAAGAGGAACCGTCTGTCTTTCCTTCCCTTTTGCAAATGGCTCTGAGGAACAGCCCCTAGTGGAGTCTGTTCTGGGATTTATTGCGATTCTCTATGCAGGGTTTACAACAACTGTCAACATTGTGATGTCGCGTGAGTGTGGCTGATGAGTGGGAAGGGGCTTGGGCATCAGTAGTTTTTGTTGACATTGGCCATTGTTGCATGAGGAGGTGTGTTGTCACAGGGGATGGTTTTGATGCACCATGTAAGATGGCAGATTGCCTTTGAATTTCCCACAATTCCTTAGAGTGACACTTGAGAGGCATTGTGGGAAACCAGATGCTGACTAGATCCAGATGCCTACTGCTAATCAGTTTGCCAGGACAGAAGAAATGGGGGGGGCAGGTGCACATAGGCACATAGGAAGCTGCCTACTGAATCCGAGCATTTGGTCCATTTCCCTCAGTGTTCTCTACATGGACTGGCAACAGCTCGTCATGTCTAGCACTTGGCAGAAGTGCTTCAATTATAGGTTAAAATCTAATAAGCATGACACAAAAAGAAGGCACAATGGAAGAAAGTAGGAAACAAGCAACTGCAAGGCTCAGGTATGTTCATTGTTTTTAAAGGCACCAGATGGAATAGCCATTGATGGAGTTGGTTCTAGGAGCGAGCAGTCCCACAGGTTCTGGTTCCAGCCAGGTTTGTGGAAAAGTTCTAGGTTCTCTCCCTTCCATTCCGTTGGCTCGCAGCTGAAATGCTCACTCGTGGAGTCCATTCTAGGAAAGAGAATTCCAATGTTACTCACTCCTGGAGAGGTTCATGGAGAGGTCCCCAATGTTTACCCTCTACCTCCTGACCTTTACCAGGTATGACACCCATAGATGAAGCCTGTTCTAGGCAGGAGGAGCCCAGAGGCAGCCGACACCAGGGAGGCTCATGGAGTGGGTCCAGGTGACACCTACAGTGTGGAATGGTCCCTGGTGAAGTCTGCTCTGGTTGCGAGGAGCCAGGTCCATTGACATAGTCAGGCAGTCTCACCACCCATGGTGATAATCGTCAAATTCAATGGGCTCTGGTGGAGTCTGAAGTAGGAAGGAGGAGCCCAGTGGCGGCTGGTCCCAGAGCGGCTCATGAAGTGGGCCCAGCTGCCTCTCCCTCCACTTCTGGCGGCTGCCATGTGCAATGGCCACTGAAGGAACCAGATCTTTCTGAGAGGAGTCAGCTGCGTATGGCGGGTCCTGCAGTCTCCCATTCCACTTGTGAGAGCTGCCAAAGTCAATGGGTTCTGGTGGAGTCTGCAGGAGGAGGGAAGACCCCAGTGGCGGTTGATCCCAAAGAGGCTCGTGAAGTGGCCCTAATGCTCTTTCCTTCCCCTTCTGACAGCTGCCAGATACAGAAGCAATTGATGGAGTCTGTCCTGGTTGTGAGGAGCCTGGTGCATAGAGGTGGCTGTACTGTGTCCGTTTCCAGTTGTGAGAACTGCCAAAGTCAATGGGCACTGCTGGAGCCTGCAGGAAGAGGGAAGAACCCAAGGATGGTTGAGTCCAGATGGGCTCGTGGAGAGGGCCCAGAGGTGTATCCACCCACTTCCGACACCTGTGTGGTGGAATGACCACGGGTGGAACTGGTTGTGTTCCAGAGGAGTCCATTGGTGCTTGGTTCCATACAGGCTCATGGATACGACCTGGCTCTTTCTCCACACCCACCTGATAACTATGAGGTGGAACTATCAGTGATCGAAGCCGTTCTATGCAGTAACCCAATGCCGGTTGCTTCCACACAGACTCATGGATTGGGCCTGGCTCCCTGTCCATCCCGTTCTGGCATTTGCCATAGGGATTGGCTGTTGATGGTGTCTTTTCTGGAACTGGTGAGCCTGATGATGGTGACGTCCCCTTAGGCTGATGCAGAGGCCCTGGCTCTCTGTTTCTTCCATTCTGATAGCTGCCATAGGGAATGATTATTGGTGGTGTCTGTCGTGGGATGGGTGAGCTCAAAGATGGCGACTTCCCCTCAGGCTGATAACTTTCATAGACAGTAGCCATCGACGGTGCCCGTTTTGGGAACGAGGAGCCCGGCAATAATTCTTCCTAGCCAAGCTCACAAAGAGCACCTGCCTGACTCCCTCTCCATTCTGACAGCTGTGTGGTGAAGCAGCCCCTGTTGGAGTCTTCCCTGGGATATACTTTGGTTCCCTATGCACAACTTGCAACAACTGCCAACCTCATGATGTTACATGAGTGTGGTGGATGAGTTTGAAGGAGTAGGGCATCAGTAGTTGACATTGGTCATTGTTGCATGAGGAGATGTGTTGTCATAGGAGATGGAGGGCTGTCGGGTTGTCCTTTGTTATGATGCAACGTGTATGATGAGCAGGAACCACAGGGCTTGCCAGAGTAGTTCTTGAGCTACTGAAGGTGGGCCTGAGTGGTCTCACTGTTCCACCTGGCTTGCTTGTGTTTATGAACTGGCAACTATTGCTTCAGGTGAGGTTGCTGAGACTTATTTGTGACATCATGTGGCACTTGGTCTGGTGGAGCTCTTCTTCCCATACTAGCCTCCCATACAGCCTCCCATACAGGCTGTTGAACAGCAGCCTGAAGGGGAAGAAGGCAGAGTGACTCCACCTGCAGCTGATAAGCCTTCCAGGACTCAGAGGAGAAGGTACTGGTGAGAACCAGCTGGCTTCAGCCTTCCTAAGCAGAGCTTCCAGCAGCAGTCAGGTGCTGGAAACAATGCTTGTAGTTCCTGACTCTACTTTGTTGCTTCCTGCTTGTCTTGAACCCATGATCATCAGATTCCCTGACCCCTGGACCATCTGACCACCTGGATTGCTGTTCACCCGACCCAAGGACTGGTCCTGTCTTTGAGTGCTGACTGCCTCCAGGCAAGTAGACCTCAGAGACTCTTCCAGTTGGGTGGCCTTCCACTCCACTGAGCTCTGCACGTTGTTGCTCAGCAACGGGACTTTGGCACCTAGGCTTTGAGCTAAACAGAGGAGGCCCTTCTCAGTGGATGCTGCTTGCTCTGTGGGGAAGCAAGATTGGGCCTTCTCCGTAGTGGCACCCCAGCTGTGGTGTTCCTTCACCCTGATGGCATGGAAAGGTAACTCTTTGAGGAGCTTCTGCCACCACCTCACCTGGCCTAATGGTAGATTTAGTCAGCCTGTTCTGGATGAGAGAAATGTGCCTTTGCTGTAGTATCTGAGCCTACTTTACTGAACTTAAGTGTGGTATTATTCTCCAGAGTTCTCAGAGCGTCCTCAGCCCCCTCTTAGCCAGAGGACAGAGCCTAGAACACCTCTTGGTCTCTGCTGTTGGATCAAAGAGCCTTAGCCTGCTGTAAGGTAAGACTGAGGACTACATGCATCTTCCCACACCTTCCTGAAACACATTAATCCTTCTCACACTCTTCCCTGGAGATGTGTTTCTGCTTCTTTTCTCCCACCTTCTCTGTGGCGTATGAAGCAGAAGCAACCCTTCCTGTGCATCTACGCTGCTAACCCAGGGGTGGGTAGCATTTTCTCAGCCGGAGGGCCATGTTCCCTACTGGGCAACCTTCAGAGGCGAGGGCCAGAGGCAAAAGTAAGCAAAGCAAGTGTCAGGGGTTCAGGGACAGAGGCACAGGGTAGGGAGGAGATGGAGAGCGATGGGGATGAATCCCAGGACAGCGAGGAAGAGGATGACAATGACTCAAGAGATTCCATGAGTCTTTCCAGCGAATCAGAGGATTCCCAGAAGGGGGCGCCAGTGGTCAAGGCCAGGGGAGCCCCAGGGGGGACGTGTCAGGAACAGGGGGCCAGCGGGGGATCCCAAAGTGGCAGCTGGGCGTCAGGACCAGCCTCCCCACCAGAGTGCAGCGAGGGGAGTGGAGTTTCCAGTGTATCAGGGAAGCAGCTCCGGCAGCAGAGCAGCGCGGGAGGTCAGACCACGCCGCCCCCCCGGACGGGGAGGGCAGTAGGGAAGGCAGTAGTGTAACTGTCAAAAGGAAAGTTAGAGGTTGGGCGCGCGCACGAGTTCAAATGTAGAGGCGCGCGGAAGTACAGGGAGCCCGGAGGAAGGGCCAGGTCCTAAAGCCCGCAGGAGGGGGGAAGAGCAGTCAGGGGATAGCGCGTCAGGGGAATCCAGGAGGGGCGAAACCCCAGCGGGCAGGAAGACCCTGAGGAAAAGGAAAGAGAGAAAGAGGTGGAGCAGCGCAAGGCTCTTAAACTGGTGCAGGGGAGGGACTGACTCAGAGGGGACTGCAACGGTCTAAGCGTACAGACGTGAGGCTGCGCGCCTCGGATATGAAGCAAACAATGAACTGCAATAAACACTTTTGTATGTAAGAAGAGATTGGCGTTGGTCTTTTGTGAGCTGAGACCTGAGGCAGCCTTGACAGCAAGGAATGTGGGTTTCATCTTTCTATGCACCTCTGTGTCATGCCGTTTATCCAGACAAGCAAGTAGACATTCTCATGCTCAAGGGCACATTCCTGCCAGGCACAAACAATCTAGAAAAGTGCAAAGCAGGACTGTTGTGGGGTGTGGCCTGTGGAGAGTTCGGGGAGCTAGATAGAAAGGCCTGAGCTTCCCTCTCCCTAGTTTAGGCCACTTTCCAACACCTGGGACAAAGTCCACACAGCTGTTGGAGGGGGGGTGCGAAACTCTTTCAATATATCCTCCAACCTCATCACAGTCTGGTTGGTTGGTTGTTTGTTTGTTTCTATTATTACCTGTGCTGGTTGGGTTCTAAACCCCACCTTATTTTGATGGGTAACAATATGGATTGTCATGCAAACCACTTTGCAAAGTATGTATGGCAAAGAGTGGTGCACTGAAATTAGAATTAAATAGATAGCAACTGGCACACCATTCCTTGAGATGTATTGGGCCAGGCTGCAACGCATCAGCAAGAACTAGAAGAGAATACCGCTGCTTTCACTTCCAGTACCCAGCCATCTTAACCCTCATTTGGATACTCAGTTTCACCCCCACAATTAGGATTGTGTGATGTAGAGCAAAGATGACGGTGATTTTATTAATCTCCTTCCAAGCTATTTCCAGGCAATTTACGTAATAACGGAAATACGTTTAAAACAAGACCAAAGAAAGGACTTCCGGGTTAGCGCCTCCGGTAATGGCTGAACTCCTCTGATCGGGAGGAATTTGCTTTGTGGAAATTAGGGTCTGGCCGCCACGGCGAAGGCGGGGACCCACCAAAAATCACAGGCGGGAGAAGCCTGTGAACGTGGGATTCGGCTGGCACCTTTTGCGCCTCCCCTACCCGTGGGGAAACCCGGTTTCGGAGATCCGGAGCGACGTGGGGTGAGTGGCGCGGTGCTTCGAATTGACTGCTTCTTTCACGGAGTGAAGCCACATTGGTGTTGCCAGAGAGCGCTGACTTTTTCCTGTGGACAATTTGATCTTAAAACAACTACCCGTGAGTAGAATGGAAAATTGGTTTTTTAAACGTCTTAATTTGGCACCGAAATGGGGAGGTTTCAAACAGGAAGTCCGCCTTCCCCTTTTGTATATAGACTGAAGCAAAGAGGCTGCAAGCTAAAGTCTTGGAAAGCCTTTCATAAAGGATTAAACTTCCAGCGGCTAAATCATCAACGCCCCCTTGGAAGCAGGAGAAGAGGGGGGAAATTTTAGATCGTGTAAGCCTGCAGGAGAGAGTGAAGAAAGTTAAATTACCACCACTCTGAACCTGGAAACGGGCTGCCAGTAAGACTGAAGTTTTGGATATGCTCATTGACTGTGAATAGATCGTTTGTTGAGAGTAAGTTAAAGAAGAGAAATACATTGTTTCCATTGTCTCCTCCTGTGTTTAAAAAGGAGTAAAAGTAATTGAAAATTGAAACTAACTTTATTGTTTGAACTGTGCTTAAAAGGACTGATACAAATAGAAATTGTTTCCCCCTACAGGAAGCCTTTGAAATTGTTACATGAGCTGAGCTGGGGAAATTTCCACCTGCAAGATAAAACTGTGAGAATCTGGGATTGACCTTGGACCGTTAAGAATGTTGACAGAAGAAGCCTTAGTGGTTGCATTATGTAAGATTAATGATTCACTGGAACAGCTCCATAAGAAGATAGATGCGAGGACTATAAAAATTGATAACTTGGAATAAAAAGTGACTAATTTGGGACAAAAAGTGAATATTAATACAGAAATTACTCAGGAATCGATACAGCGATCTATTTTGACATGGCAAATTGAGGAGAAGGCGGGGGAGAAAGTGGTTGTTGTGGAACCTAAAGCTGCACAAGTGGAGAGGGAGAGAGCCCCAGCCTTACAGGTGCAATTTGATGACTATAAATTGATGCCTTTTAAGACTGAATTTAGAGAAAGTCAGACTTTGAGGATTGGAGCCCCGCTTGGACTGAAGAAGGAAAGTTGGATAGATCCCTTCATGCAGGGATTTATTGACCTTTGGGACCTGGACTTGGGTCAGGAGGAGACTGGAGTTGTGGGGACCGCCAGACTTGGAGGAACTTTGAAATACGACTGGAAATATCTTTTGAATTTCAGTTTTAACTATGGAGATTTGGCTGACTTGTCGAGAAGGAATAAAAACATTGCTAGATGGAAATTTCCCGAGATCTAATTTTCAGCATCAAAGGAAGGAAAATAAGAACAAGATCAGGAGAAGACAAAGTAAAGTGCATGTATAAATATGAAGAAGACTTGCAGAAGGGACTTGGAAAAGAGTTAAGAGCCTCGGACAGAAGATCACCAGGTTGATGGACTATATGGAATTGACGGAAATGACTGGCAGAATCCGAGACCAGGGAGAAGAGACGGTGGAAGAATATTAGAAAAAGTCTAAAATCTATATATAGAAATAATGTAAAATTAATGAGTGTTAGAAAAATGTTGGGAGGGAATTATATGGCTTTAGTAGAAATGTTTTAAGGAATTAAGCATAAATAAGTACTATAGTATTAATGAAAAAAAGGTTAAAATATGTTAAGATAATCACATGACAGAAAATAGAGAAAGATGGAAAGGATTTGCTGAAATAATTAATAGAAATGAAATACAAAAAGGGAGGTGAGAGG